GAAAACTGACAAACTGATGCTGTGGGTTTGCAGCTACCAATTTTTCTTTGAGTTTTGCAGCAACTCCAGCTCTCCCCCCCACCCCCTGTGGTGCTCCATCTGTGGCCAGACTCACGGCATTTGTCCAGTGGGCACCAATTTTATCCAGAGCTCCTACCAAGTTCTTGAAGATCTCATCATCTGTGGCTGTGTCTTTCACTGGAATGATTTCTACAAATTCTTCTGTAATGTGCATGTCTCGATCAACTCCGCGAATAAAGACTGCAAGCTGTGCTAAATCGGTGCTTTCATCCATTGCAACTGAAAATGCAGTAAAAGACTTAGTTTTTTCTACAAGTTGCCGGTTAAGATCCTCAGATAAATCATGAATTCTCTCTGCAATCGTGTTTCTTGAGAGACTTATATTGGCAAAAGCCTCCTGCTGATCTGGGCAAACTACTTCCGCAGCCATGATCATATACTTTTTAACAAACTCCCCTTCTGAAAAGGGTTTCGATGACACAGCCAGTTCGTGTGCGATCATATAGCTTGCCTTGACTGCAGCTTCCCTCATTTGATACGACTTTTTGAAAACTGACTGCTGTTTTCTCAATGACCGCTCCAGTTCAGAAACTTTCCCCCCTCCTTTTCGCTTCTTGGCTAACGCCATGATCGCCAGGGTCTTTCCAAACCACACATATGTAAAGGCAATGCTGCAAGGGAAAGGGTGGCAGTTTAAAAAAAAATGTTCATATAAATTCATTGCAGACTCTTTGAATTTAACTACAATAGTGCTTTGTCCTTTCGCTTGAAAGGACACCGCTTAATAGACCACAGACTGCACTCATATGGTTATCACCATTGTTAAACAACTGCATTAAAACAGACACTGCTAGCAGTTTACGATATTGATTTGTTTTAGAATGAACTGTTTTTAGATGGTTTTATGATAAATGTAACTGTTGTTTCGTTATTTATTTCTTATGAAAGCTGCCCTGAGCCTGCCTTGGCGGGGAGGGCACGGTATAAATTGAATTAATAATAATAATTGCACGTGGCGTGTTATCATTTGGGGAAGGCTGCCCCCTCAAATGCGTTGGAAGGGGAAGGGGGGCATTCCCTGCTGGGAAAGAGAAAAGAGAATTCCCCAGCTATGGGCAGCAGGCCAGAGGGAAATCCCCCACTGCCAGGTTCAGTAGCCCATGCCACTCCCCCCCACAGCCAGCCCAAGGTCACTCTGGATTGGCTGGACAGGTTGGGAGTCAGGAGCCTCTGGCAGCTGTAAGCTCTGAGTGGGTGTAGCCTCACTGCACATGCCCGCTCATCCTCCAAGCAGCCTCCTGCCTTCCCTCCCTCACACCAGTTGCTGCTGGGCCAGATGAGAGCCCTGGACAGGCCAGTTCCAGCCCATGGGCCACAGGTTTGACACATTTTAGACAGTTTCCTTTTTCCCTTCCCCACCTACTGCACTGCTTTTTAAATGTATTATACTGTTTCCTGGATATATTATACTATTTGTTATTTTGTTGTTCTCTAAGGGTACGATCCTGTCTGATGACACTCATCTGTAATTCTGTAATCCACTTTGAGTCTCTACCAAAAACTGGATTTTCTGTTTTCAATGGGGAACAGAATATTTTTGTTTCTTTGGCCTTGCATCCTTCAGTCCTACTAGCAGTCTGTTTTGCACCCAGCACCATCTATGCTTGCTTACCAATACCTCCTAGGTAAAGCTAAAGGTTTCCCTTGCTCGAAATCCAGTTGAATCCGACTCTAAGGATGCGGTGCTCATCTCTGTTTCCAAGCCAAAGAGCCAGTGCTGTCCAAAGACGTTTCCGTGGTCATGTGGGCAGCACAACTAGACGCCAAGGTGCACGGAATGCTGTTACCTTCCCACCAAAATGGTACCTATTTATCTACTTGCAATTTCTTGCTTTCGAACTGCTAGGTAGGCAGGAGCTGGGACCAGAGACGGGAGCTCACTCTGTCATGCGGCACTCGGGTCTCAAACTGCTGAACTACCGATCTTCCAGTCTGCAGTTCAGCATCTTAACCACTTGAGCTACTTCCTACATTCCCTCAAAAAATTACAGCCACAACCTCAGATTTTCCAATCAGTCTAAAATGCCTCCACCACCACCCTTTTCCTTTTGGTTCCAAGCATCCACCCAATTTTATTGTCCATTCTAGGGGCTTTTCCACATGGGTTCTTCTTGCCCCGTCTGGCCATACACTGCTTCAGTTTATGCCCTGATTTCCACATACATTTTTGTGCATTTAGTTGTCACTTTGGTTTTTCCCCTTCTTTTGAGATCACTTTTACCCCAAACTTTTGCCCAGAAGCCGAATTAAGTCACCCTTTCCCTCATGCGTAATGTTTCCCTTTCCCCTTTTATTTTCTTAAAAGCTCAATAATTAACAAATCCTGAGCAGCAGAAGATTATCATTCCTCGTTGTTTGGATGCAAGGGCTGAAAGCACTGAAACAAACTTTACTGTTGCCAGAGTGATCTTGGGACCCTTATCACTAAAGCAAGGAGGCAGAGTTTCCAGGGTGGAAGGGGATGGTTGATTAATTACAAGCTTATTATAATGATCCCTTATATTCTAAAACACACACACACACACTCTCAAGCAAAACATGAAAAGATGTGTCGATCCTATTAACGCTACGAGGGCAAATTCTATGGGAATAGGGCCTATTCAGAAATCTCCCCTGTAGAACCATTGAGGATATAATATTCGATCTTGTGAATATGAAAACGCTGCAGTATCATGGGATAGTAAGATAGTACATATAGCCAGGGTAAAAATCTGGAAAAGAAACCAAAAAGACAGGGGTGAGTAAATTCGGTGGGCTCTTAAGATCAAACTGCTGTAAGCAGTTTCTAGGATACACTTTTTGATCAAAGAAAATGCTTTAAATATGTCCATATCAGAAATACGATTAGCTGACATTCCAACTAACATCAGTTTCTCATCCAGGGCTGTCATCCAGATTTTCATTTCCTTTAGGGGACTAGACTTGAGGAGTGGTTTTTTGATCAGATTATAAAGGGATTTTGATAGTTGGATTTAGGGGTGTGAGCTCGGTATAAACAGAGCTGAAAAAATACCTTACCAAGCTGGTTACCAAGTGGTCTACTGATTCGACCATCCAAAAATGGCCGCCCCGAAAAATCCGGATAATATTCAGGATTTTTCGGGACCACTGGATAGCCCCAGTTAAAGGGCACCTGTAGCTTGCAAGAAGCAGTTAAAGGGTCCACGATCCCTTTAAATGCCTCCTCCCCTTCATTGGAAACAATGGAGGATGGGGGTGGCTCTGTTGGGCAGGGCAGTTTAAACTGGGATGCCCAGCAGAGCTGGTGGGGAGACCTCTCCCTACAGGATCGGCTCCTGGGCAGGCTCTGTTGGGCAGTCTGGTTTAATCTGGCTGCCCAGCAGAGCAGTAGCCAAGCCTGTGGAGAGCCCTGTGGGAGGCTCAAGGGGGGAGGGTAGTGGTGAGCCCCTCCCCCATGGGACTGCACTTGCAGGCCCTGTCAGGACAAGACATCCAGGGCTGAGGCTGGCATGGCAGTCGCACCCGGTTGTCACGGTTTAGTTTTTTGGTCTTGCAGGTGGAGATTCAACAGAAAGACTTGAGGTTCTGGCAAGTTCCCCACAAACACACACAGGCACTCTGCTCAATCTGCTGCTCCAGCCTTCCTCATGGAGTGGAGCACCATGCCCGGCAAGCCCTTGCCAGTTCCACCTGCGAAGTCATCCCATTTAGGTGCATGCCATGCCGGGGACCCTCAGTCCCCAGGGTGGAAGTGGGGGGAGTCCTCACCCCTTGCCATGGATTCCAGTGCAAACAAAGTCTCAAATGAGGATGACTGTGTTCCTGTCTTCGGTGCCAGTCTCTGCCATCTGACAAAGAGAAAGTGTGGGACCATCTAATTTTGGAGAAGATAACAGATCACATCCGCCGATCTGAAATCTACCCCAAACAGTCCAATTTTGCAAAGAAGTGGCTTCCCTTTATGGAGTTCATTTTTGCCTCTGACCTGCAACCTAGTAACTCTACATACTTATCTATACTAAACCAATAGTTGTCATCACAACACTGGAATTATAATGGAAGATAATGCGTTAGTGCGATTTGGTTCTGAATGAATAGGAGAATTGATCACTTACCTTGGTCTTGAAACTAATATATGACTAAGTTGAAATTGAAATGCTTGTTAGCATGCCTACAGTTAAAGTTAATCTGTTTTTTTAGATGTTGTTATTGTCTATATGTGGACCCTCCAACCGGGCTAGATTTTTGCAAATGCAACTTCTTCCCAGTTCCTCCAGTCCCTTTGCAGTTTGGAGAGGGAAGGAGGGCGAGCACAGGCTCCTTCTAACCTCGAGCCACCCCCTCCCACCAAGGCTCTCAATGGATTTATCCCCAAACCCCCCACCCCACCCGCCTCCTCTAGCAGGGAGCTCCACCAGCCAAGGGCCCGCGAGTTGCTCTCCTTGTGGAACAACAAGGACTGCCCAGGCGCCGCACCCAGGAACTGTCCGCCCAGCCGCAGCCTGAGCGGCGCACTTACTCGCGAGCAATCCCGCTGAACCTCTACGCGCGGACCGGCTCCCGACGTCCCTCCCGCGGCCGGGGGCGGGGCCTCAACGCACGCGAGGGGGGCGGGGCCACGGCCGGAAGGGGGCCGGCCTTGGAGCCGCCTCGGAGGGCCGGCCGGTCGCTTTTGCGTACGCGCCCTCCGCGGAAGCGCGCCGCCGTCAGGCCGGAAACCCGCTCTTTCCCCCCTTGCCTCGTTGGCAGCCACTTCCGCCTCGCGCTCTCTTTCGCTTCCGGGGGACCGAGGGGAGGGGCGGGAGCCGCCGCGACCGCTGCTCGGTAACCAG